ATAATTTCACCGGATTAGTGATGTAATGTATAATTTCTTGGACTGAAATCGAAAACGTAATGGAGTACATTACCAGTAATTTTATTAAAGTTACAATAATCTGCAGGTTTGCTATTTAATTTTTTTGCGAATTCTGGAGCACTAAAATGGCCGCAACGCCTAAACTAAAATAGCTAGCAAAAAAAGGCATCAGGCAAAGTTGATCAGAATGTTATTATCTACAAGTTTTGTTAAGGTAATTTTGTCGAAAAAAAATAAATAAGAAAAAGGCCAATGGCCAAACGCACAAGGCTTTCGAGTGTGATTTTTTGGCTCAAAACTCAGGACACAGTCTTCAATCAGCCCTGAAAAAATCAGCCTGCCCTCGCAAATTTTTTTGAAAAACCCATATATTTCTTGGGCTATTTATAGATGTAAAAATACTTGACTGGCTTGTTTAATAAGTGAGATGATTCTTGGGATGCAGTCTTGCTGTATCCTGAATTATGGAATATACATTGTAAAGATTTAAAGCGAAGTGTTAGGGATAAACGTTCTTCTGCTCTAACAGCCTGTCGCATTTTGGTATCTTGCTTAGATATTTTTACTTTTACCAAATTCAGTAAATAATCGAAGTCTTCTGCCGACATTTGTAAAAAAAATTTCAACTGCAGTGGATCTTCACTTCTCAACTCGGCGAGTAGCTTCTCGTGAATGCCTAAAGAAGATCTACGCTAAATCCAGTTTCTTACCCACATTTTCCTTCGCTTTTTGACATTTTCCTTTTTTTAATTTGATTGCAGCAGTAGAGGCAATTTGCTGGGATGACATTGTGTGTATACGTACTTGCTAGAAGAAAAATTGGAAACAATTGCAATACACTGTAGACACACCAGCAAGTACTTGCTGAAAAAAGTATCGCAAGTTATTTACTTGCAAGTGGACATGAGCCTTAGCCATTGTTGAAACTTTATTGAAAATTTATTCTTTTCTTTGAACTCTTGCTTTGATCTTATAATTTTGCTTCAAATAATTTTGAAAAGTAAATTGAAATTGGACAATGATTTTGAGAAAGCTGAATTATGGGATAACACAACGAAAAAATACTGGAGAAGGATCAAAGCCGAAACACACTACAATATACAACACTTCAATCAATATAAATCATCATGTGGAAATAAAAATGAAAAATTTAAAACCTACTAGCAAATATTTATTGATTTTTTTTTTGTCTGTAAAAGTACGTAAATTTCTCTGTTAATGAAACTGTTTTCATAAGAAATTTGCTTTTTATTTATTTCCTCTGGGCTAGTTCAGGCTAGGCTCGGCCAGGCTAGGCTTTTCTGCAAGAATTTAAACAAAATTCAACGAGAGCAATCTGCACAGCATTAGGTGAGGCCAGACTATACTCATCACGATTGACACAATTGATTACTTCTACTACTACTACAACAACCATCATTCAATTATCAGGTTTTATAGTGGTCTAGTTGTTTTTTATTTTTTCCCATTTCAAATTTCAGCCGTACAAGTCTCATCATCAGAACAAACATTTTCCTAGTTACATTCAAGGTCTATAGTAGTCTGGTGGATATGGCTAGTCGTTCTTGAGCGAATGGTCAACGGTTCGATTCCACACACAGACACTAGACTTTTTTTTTTAATTTGGAGTAAGACATTTTAGGTCACTGCTAATTACTTCTTCGGCACAGGTGACGTGAAGATGACAGGACTTTTTTTTTTTAAGGTGTGAGACATTTCAGGTGACAACTAATTACTTGAGGTGAGGTGTGGACATCGAGGTGTCCCAGAACCGCCTGCCATCGAGTGTCCCAGTACCGCCTATTCTCTACTACTGATGCCTTTTTCAAGTTTACTCTCAGCCTCCACCTGTCCATCCAGGTTTGAATGCTATTGAGGTGTCTCTGCAGTCTGGCTCGTATAATTGGTCTACTTCGTGTTGTGGCTATAATTGCAGTGTCGTCAGCGTGGGCTTGAAGAGCGGATTCTCTACTTTTTGGGTTATCCGCCATGAATAGATTGAAAAGACTGAGAGGGCGCCTTGGAGTACTTCGGCAAGTACTGGTCTGGTAGCGGATCGTTCTTGGTTACTGGTGTTGTTATCGAGATTGTGTAAAAATCACAGGCCTTCGGTGCATCCGGACAAGACTGAGGCAGTACGATTTACAAAGCGAAGAAACGTTGACCTGAAAGGGCTGACGCTCTTTGGATGGAGGCTTGCTCCATACAGTACGATAAAATATCTAGGAGTCATCATTAACTCCAGGCCGACCTGGAAAGATCACGTCATCAGGGTTGTCCAGAGAACCACTGCTAGCCTTTGAGCCCGTAGACGATCCGGACGCATCTGAGGCTTACAACTCCACATAGACCACTGGCTTTACACAGCAGTAATACGGCCAATGATCACTGGCAGCTTAATTTGGTGGAACGCGCTCAGCAAATCCACCTACAGGGCAAAGCTGGACAAGCTCCAACGACTTACAGTTGGAGTATTTAGACCCACCCCAATGCTGGCGATGGAGGCCATACTGGGAATAATTCCTCTCTATCTCTTTGTGGAGGCACGGGCTCGCTAGGCTTCTGTCAGACTCAACGATTGGGGATAATAAGTTCATAGAGGCCTGAGTATGGGACATGCAAGGGCCTAGACTGACACCATCAGGCAGGACCCCCTTCTCACCGGAAGGGATGCAATGCCAAAAAATTCAGCCCTCCCTAGACAAGGTCATCATCCCTGCAAGGGACGACTGGCTAGAGCCTGACCCAGGTTTCCTCAAGCCGAAGGGGCTCATCTGATATGTGATTTTATCATCAGAACAAAGTCATCAAAATCAATCAATATCCGAGGTTTCTGAGGACCCTCTGATTTAAAAAAAAGCCTCAACCTGACGTCTTAACTATCATGTGTACAACTTTTTGCGGGCTTTATTTTCATCTTGAAAGGTCAGGACATTTTTAGGAAAAGTTGTATTTCTCAAGTGGGAATTGGTATAGTTGTCAATAGCATGTTTTCGTATTTTCTTCTAGTGGGTTTCTACTTCAATTTTTCTTTGAATTTTCTTTTATTTTCCTTCAGATATCTTCGACGGTCGTGACATTGGAGGAAAACCCCAAGACTACATCAAAGCAGTTTCTTCCCTAGTAAACTACCCACCTTTCAGTAACTCATCACTGTTTATTTCATCCCAACTCATCATGGCTAGCGAGCGAATGGCAGGTTCGGGATTATCCAACCAAAATCTAGCTCTTCTCCAAACAAACAGGACTGAATCCAGAATATTTTGCTGCAAGAACAATATAGTCTTCTAAAAGAAAAGAAGTCGAGCGATACCCACAACAGGTCCGACTCGAGGGAATGCTGATGAACAAAAAGACAGATGGCTCAAAAAAAAAAATAAGAAAAGCAGGACCGGCTGCAGAACATTCAGCAACAGCAAGAAGACAAACAGGGATGATCCGCGAAGAATCTGATAAGAGAAGAGAAAATAGAAAAGAAGATAAAGATCGAAGCTTCTGGATAATTCCAACAACGGAAGCACCAGAAAGATAGATATTTTAATGAGCCATTTCATACGTGGCGAACTGAAACCACCCTATGATGTTCATTAATAATTCTCTTTTTAAGGCTCTATTGGCAATCATCTTGAGAGACCGAGGTGTTTGGAAATACCATGCAAGAGCAGAAAACTATAGGGGCGTCCATATTCATATTCATCATTCATATTCAATATTGCTAAATATTTTTAGGAAAAGTAGTACCTACCTACCTCTTAAGCCGGAATTGTAATAGTTTTTATTAGAGCTTGTAGTGGTTAAAGTAGGTTCCTTTTTCAATTTTCTTATAAATATTTTTTTATTTTGTTCCAGATATCTTCGACTCTTGTGACATTGAAGGAAAACCCGGAGACTAGGTTAAATCAGTTTTTCCCCCAGTAAGCTACCCAGCTCTTAGTAACCCATCAATATCCACTCCAAAATCCAGCTTTTTACAAAATAAGCAAGTCTTCATCACCTTCACCTGCGTATTCTTCTTCATCTGCGATGACCAGTAACCATCACCATTCACCATCTGAAAATAGGTCCTAGAGAGCTGAAACAGATAGGCAGTTCACAGCCCATTATTCAGGTAATTTATCGACATCTCTCCCATTGATTAGGTTAGACACACCACCGATCTTTACCTGGAGCAGAGTACAGAAACAGTTACCTATCTAGGAAAACTACATTAACTAAAGAAATGTCCAGTTCTATATTGATGGAGTAGAAGATACAGATTAGCAGCAAGCTGAAAGACTGTATAGGGACAACCATACAACACACTAGCTATCAAAATCAGTGGTACGCCCTGTGAGGTTCAATATGACGTCTTTTCTATCATGCGTACTTTTCTTTGAGGACTCTATTATCAATCGTCTTAATAGACCGGGGTGCTTGGATATACCATGCAAGAGCAGAGATCGATAGTGGGGTAGAATGCCATATATGTTCAATCAATGTAGAGACATCCATTTATGTTTATATCGCGTCAATATTGCTAAATATTTTAAGGAAAAGCGGTACCGCTTAAGACGGAATTGTGATGGTTTTTAATAGGACTTGTTGTCGTATTTTCTTTATGTGAGTTCCTACTTTATTTTCTTATAATTTTTTTTATTTCGTTCCAGATATCTCGGATGCTAGTCACAGCATCAAATCAGTTTTTTCCCCAGTAAGCGGCCCAGCTTACAGTAACCAATCAACGTCCACTTTATCCCAGCTCATCGAGGCCAGCGAGCTAATGGAAGGTTCGGGATTATCCAACCAAAATCCAGCTTTACTCCAAACAAGCATACCTTCATCACCGTCGCTCGCGTATTCTCCTCCACCTACAATGACCATTTACCGTAAGCATTTCCCAATTAATAAAAAACTTGAAATCAGCTGCATGTACAACAATGGTATAGCTGCCAGGGATTTCTCGGAATCGAGAAAAAAAAACATAGAGAAGTGAAGGGGATGGTAAATCCTCTCTACCTCCAAGTTCTCGTACCAGCAGCATAATATGTGCAAATGACTTTAAGAGAGCTGAAGGAAAAAGGCAGCTTCCAGAGAGCCTCCGCTATTTTTGTAGGTAATTTATCGACATCTCTCTCGTTTCTATCACCTATGTCAAAGTTTCCTATATGTTTTGTAACGTATTGTTTGCTTTGCTTGACGTTAGCGTTAAAGTCGCCGCTTATTATTACAAAGTGTGGATTTTCTTGTTGTTTAACTTTGCTCAGATCGGAGTCGATATTTTTAGTACGGGTTAGTCGTATTTTCTTTATGTGGGTTCCTACTACAATTTCCTCATATATATTTTTTATTTTTGTTCCAGATGCCTTCGATGGTAATAATGGTATTGGCATCATGGAAGGTTCGGGATCGTCCAGCCAAAATCCAGCTCTTGCCGAAACAGGACCTCCATTATTTTGGGCGAGGTATTATACTCCATCTACAAGTACCAGTCACCATCAGCTTCCTCTAGTTCCTGAAAATAAATCTACGACAGCTAGAAGAGAAAGGCAGTTCACAAAGGGCTTTCATGATTCAGGTAATTTCTCGACATTTCTCTTGTCTCGTTTCTATCCCCTATGCCAAGTTTTCTATATGTTTCGTATCATGGTAATACAGGTGTATATTATACTGGTGATATTTCAGTGTTGGGATGCGATGTTCTATTGATTAGGATAGACATATCACGGATCTTCATCTGGAGCTGAGGTACAGAAACAGTTATGTTAGAAAACTACATTGAGCAATTTCCAGTTTTATATTGATGAAGTAGAAGATACAGACTAGCACCAAGTGCAAAGACTGTATAGGCCGAACACACTAACCGCAACCATTGTAATATATGAACTAAAGTTGCGAACACTAAAGCTGCCAAAAATGCCGTTTCAAATAGTAAAATCGGAATTGGGGAAGTAAGGATATACGAGGAAGGCTCAAACATAGAGGCAGATATTTTTATTGAATTAGAGCCGATGTTCCAGACATACTGCGCGGAACTAGGCTACGATTCAGGAATAAGAAAACTAATCAAGTGTTTCAACTGCATCCGAGAAGGACCTGTTAGTAGAAACCGTTGACGACGTTGAAGACTGCGATGCGGATTACGAAGGTGGCTCGAGGCATTAGGAAAAGGCCATTCCGCCAGTGTGACGGAAAGTCCGCTGGCGACCACTAAATTCCAAGTCCTCAAGTCATACGTTTTCTCCGTGAAGAGAAATTGCGGAAGTCTCGTTGCCCAAGGCAATAGGAATGCGATTTCACCGTATTTTACCATCAAAATAGAGCCATCAAATTCAGTGGTTTGCCCCGAAAAGATTGCTGAGGACCTTGTGATGTTCAATAATAAATAACTTTTTGGAGGCTGTTTTGTCAATCTTGAGAGACCGGGGTGTTTAAACATACCATGCAAGAGCAGAGATGGATAGCGGGGAGAAATGCCATAATGTGTTTAATCAATCTAGGGAAATTCTATACATTTATATTGCGTCAACATTGCTAAATATTTTTATTTAAAGTGGTACTAGAGGTATAACCTACTTCTTAAGTTGAGAATTGAGAGTTTTTAATAGAACTTGTCGCATTTTCTTCAAGTGGGTTCCTATTTCAATTTTCTTATAATTTTTTTTTTATTTTGTTCCAGATATCTGCGATGTTCATGACGTCAAAGGAAAACCTGAAGACTACATCAAATCAGGTTTTTTCCCAGTAAGAAACTCAGCTCTCAGTAAAAAAAAAAATGGCCTACCTCGATCATTGTGTACCACGGCGTATCCTCCTGTAGGTTCGGGATTATCCAACCAAAATCCAACCATTTTCCGAAGAATCCTACCTCGACCATTGTGTACCGCGACGTATCCTCCTCTAGGTTCAGGAGTATCCAACCAAAATCCAGCCATTTCCCAAAGAAACCTACCTCGATCATTGTGTACCGCGGCGTATCCTCCCGTAGGTTCGGGATTATCCAACAAAAATCCAGCCATTTTCCGAAGAATCCTACCTCAAACATTAAGTCCCGCGCCGTATTCTTCTCCTTGTTCGGAATTATCCAATCGAACTCCAGCTTCTTCGCAAACAATCCAACGTCCATTATTTTGGCCCTTCAAGTATCCTCGTGCAGAGAAACGGTTTCAGTGTCCGGTTTGCTGTAAAAAATATACAACCAAAGCTTATGTGGGAAAGCACATGATGCAACTACACAGAGAAGAAATGTGCCAAGCAGCCAATCGTGCCAAGCAGCCAATCACTCCTCAACGAGAATATCGCAGCACGCGAAGAATTTTGCTTGACGGTTATTACGGACCAGAACAAACGGAACCAGTAGATTTGAGCATGAGCACCAGACACTCGAAAAAATAAAAATGCGAAGATGATTATCAACAAGAATCAAGAGGTTTGTAAATCAGCATACATAACATTACAAATACACCTACATATTTTCTCAGCGCTGAATTTGGTAATTAATTCAAAAATTAATTTTTGGTGTTATTTCTATTCACAATTAATGCGCGCGGTTTCTCCATTCATAAGCTGTTTTGTTGGTAACTGGATTATACCTCCTTCTGGTTTTCCAGTTGCCATCATAATTTTCTTTTTCAAATAAGTAAGATAGGTGCGCTAAATATTGCCATTGTTCCTAATATGGTCACCCCTCGTTACTCAGTTAGTATCGATGTTGCATGTAGGTGGCAGCAGTAGCAGGTACAGCGATTTGTTTTCTATTCGGCGGTTTAGTCTATGCTAAACGTCAGACGTCAGGAGCACGACATTTGTTTTTCCTGTCCGCGCTATAAGAAAATTAACTTTTCCCGTTTATCCTACGCAATCTTAATTTACATTTACTGGATTTTTGTTATTAAGTACAGAGAAGTACACTCCAGTGGCTCTTGTTTTATGAATTGCATGAATTATTTCAAGTGGGTTTCTAGGTTAGAGATTTTTTTCTGGACGTCATTTGTTCCTAATATTGCCATCACTAGATATGCGCTTGTGCCTAGTTTGCTGTCGATATGTTTTTTGGGGTGAATAAAATCAATAAATGATTTAGATTTAAACAATGCATTTCTTTACTCGTACCCATATTTGTATTGCATCATTAATAAAAGTAGAGGATTTAATCACTAAACTAACCCAAACGTTAAGGAGGCAATATTTGGCACACTTACCTTATTGAAACTATCTGAAATTCACATTCAGCCCAAACTAATTCATATTATAGATTACAGAACAACGAATATTTTTTTCAGGAAACCACCCGTGGAGGAATTCTTCATGTTTCAGGAAAACTGAACTCACTTATATTTTCATGAGGGTTTTCTGGCCATTTTATATCCAAATAGATAGAACATTATTTTGGATTTATAGTAATATGTAGGATGTAGGAATTCATTGTCATTATGTTCAATTAAATTCGAATTGGCAAGAGTCACTTTTTCGCAAACCTCATGTGACATTATTTATGTCCCTTACCATTCTATTTTGTCATGTTTCATGACCAGTCCCATTTAACAATAAATTAACCTGCTAGTGTGCAATTTTCCATCCTAGTGTGCAGTTATTTCCGGTATGGATCGGAGATTGCTCACACGGAACTTTTTTCTGACTTAGGAAAAGGTTTCCAGTTAACTTTTGGTTTCTACAGGTTAATTATTGCTGTTTTTTTCGTTTTCTTCATTATCTTTTCCTAAGTTTTCCTAAAGACCCATTAGAAGTGTTTTTTTTTTATTCTCACCAAATCACCAAATATTTGTGTTTCCAGTTTTCGGTGCTATTTTCTAGAGGTTTTTTTTCCATGCATAAAATAATGCGGTTTTTTCTAGGAAATTTATAAATTTCTCGCATTTTCCATCTGTAAGCACTTCACTAATCTAGCTATGTCTTTCATTCCACGTTTTTTACACTAATTTGTATTTTGATGTAACTTTTTTTCATTGAAGTGTAAACTCATAGGAGGTCGGACGTTTAAGCTTTAAATCTTTCGGAGAGGAGAAACTTAGATAAGTTCAATAGAAAAGTTACACTTCTATCGTGCGTTGTGACAACTGACATACTAAGATTTTTATTTTATTCTGAGCATTAGTTCAGATATAGAACAGAAATTAATATATGATTAAAATTTCACAGGTTCAATAATGATGTCTCTGGACTCATCGAGCAGTGTTTGCCAGAAGTAAACGAATTGAAACAAGAATTGCAACTTTTTACCTGCAGAGATCAAATTATTATCCGTACCTGTGATAAGCCAAGTCAAAAATTGGGGTGAGTTTTTGAGAAATCAAACGTCAATACCGTTTGTGTTGTATTTCATAACCAAAAATGAAAATCGCATCAGAAGCAATATTAAAGGTCAATTCTCACTTGCGCTTCACTCAGCTCCGCGACGCGACCCGACGCCGCGCTGCAAATTGTCGCTAGATAAATATTTCATTGATTTAAATGAATAGATTTCCACCTACACTGTACTACACTTTACGACGTGTCGCATTCAATCCAATGAAATATTTATCTAGCGACAATATGCAGCGCGGCGTCGTGTCGCGTCACCGAGCTGGTGAAGCGCAAGTGAGAATTGACCTTTAAAAGGTAATTTTGTATTTTTGATATCTAAGATTACATTAACAGTGTGGGCCTAACCCACAGTACAGGGTGAGTCATTTTGGGTGGGAATGCCGGGTACAGCCTAAACGGCAATAGATACAAAAAATATAAATGCATGTCGCGATCTATTGTTTCTGAGTACCTACCTATAGGTTAATGAACCACTCAGCATTTTCTGAAATTCATTTGTTTTCTATATACAGCGGTTTCTTGGAAAATAAGCTCATTTCAGATTTCCTCTGTATTTTAATCAGTTGTTATCAAACATTTTAAGAAATGTTAAATTAGGTTTTTTTTGATTTTTCACGTAGAATCCAGTGGCTCACTCGGATTTTTTTTTTGGGGTATTAGTTGAAATTATTAAAACCATAAAGTGTTACATATCGCTGCAACCAAAAAAAAATATCTAATTTAACGGTGTAAAAATATACAGGGTGTCCGTTTTTCGAGGGCAACCATTGGGATATAGGAAACGGTAAGAGATACAGGTTCGGTTAAATTGGGACAAAGTTGCGCAATTTCTTGCTTAACAAAACGCTACCTCGAAATTTGGAATACTCCAAATAGTTCCGGAGGAACCAAAATTTTGCAAAATCGTTTTTATTTTTTCCTGGTTTCATTTGGAGAGATATTTCAAAATAAACTTCACTTTATCGGGGCAACTTTCTCTCCTCTACACAATGGTGTAGCCAAATTTGAAGTCCGACGTTTCGTCTTTGGCCGATCATCATCAACTTTTTTTTTTTAAGTACAGGTTTGCATTTTTTTAAATTGCATTCGGAGCTTTTTGATCCCCTGAAAACAGTAACAGATTTGGCCATTGAGAAATATTTTTTTTTATGGAAAATAACGCGTTCAATGCACTACCATCTACTTCTATCTCTTTACAATGCACCTATTTTCACTATATCCGGAAGTATTCGGAATATTCCAAAGTTCGAAGGGGCGTTTTGATAAGCAAGGAATTGCGCAACTTTGCCTCTATTTAAACGAACCTGTATCTCTTACACTGAAAAAAATATTTTGGAAATTTACTCACAAAATCACTGGCAAAAAATAACCAATGATTTTGTAAGTAAAATTACAACATCTATCTGTAAAATTATAACGCTATTGTGAAATTACAGAAACTGTGTAATTTAAATCCTGTAAATTTACAAAAGGATTGTAATTTTAAATAATATTTTTACAAAAAAAACTTGTAAACTTATATTTCAAACTCGTAGTTTTATTTATTATTTTTACATAGATGTTGTAAGTTTGAAATATTTTTTGTGAAAATGTATTGTAAAATTACATTACAAGCATGAAAATTTACAACGTGCGGATAAATTTGCAAATAGATGACTCTGGATGTTCCAATTTCTTGTTATCTCCAGCTATTACATCATAAACATACACAGCAGAAAATATTGAGTATTAACAGGGTTGTCGTTGTTTATTACCAATATTATTTTCTATACGCTTTCATGATGTTAGTACTGTAGGAAATACACATTGGAACTGAGTATATAAGTTTACTACAAAAACTATTGTTCACTTTCTGCCAGTGATTTTGTTAGTTATTCTTATTCAGTTTAATAAATGAAAGAAACACTTACATTTTTAGCTTTGTTTTGGTTCGAAAAAAGGACGGTTCTAGAACGATTCAAAACAATCGCACAGTTTATCAATCAACAAAATGACAACGGCTCGGCTTTCAAAAATTCCAATAATAAACTGTGCGACTGTTTTGGACCGTTCTAGAACCATCCTTTTTTCGAACCAAAACAAAGCTTTTATACACTAGCAGTGCTTTAAAGCGATTAGTGGGACTGGAAATTATAGTTTTGAAAAAAGATGGGAAACGCTTTTATTATGATAAACACTGGAAACACAAAAGCGGAAATAAAGCAGTCTAAACTCCGTTATCACAAAAGAAAAATAAGAGAAGCGCATCCTTTGGTCAACTATAAAAATCTATACCTACATAAATAACATAACAAAGTTAACCTAATACTATCCAGTTAGATATAAGGTATGAAAAATTACAGGTACAGGGTTTTCCTCAAAAAAATGATGTCAAAACTTTACAATAAATGTCGAAAAATTAATCGTAATATGTTTTAATATTGTCGATTCATATTTTTATTATTATCGTTATTTTGGATTAAAATGGTTTACTCATGATTGGAAGATGATGCAACTCACAACTGCCACCTCCTTTTGCTTGGGCTTATAAAGAGGATAGGAGTGCAGAGTAGATAAGCAGGGACAGTTGACCCCCAATTTTGACCATTTTCCCAGGTAAATCCCTATAAGAAAATCTAAGGTCCAAAAACCGCGTTATTCGATCAAAAAGGGAGGGGGTAAAATTTCCTAAAATTTTGGATCCCATTTTGGAAGCTCCAAATTGAAGGGGCCTATAACCCGGGTGGTGGTCCAGTGGCCTATTCCATTGAACGCACCGTATTGTCCTAAAAAAAGTCGGTAGGTAGTCGCCAAGAACCGATCTCCCGGCAAAAAATCCCGCTGCAGCAACCACTAGACTATCCTAGCAGTTGATAATAAATGGCGAAAAGGAGGTATTAGGTATACAATCATGACGAACAGGAGCCGCCGGCTGCCTCGGTCAGAGGCATTGGCCGCAAGGTAGCAGGTCCCTGATACATACTACAAACATACAGGCACCTCGCGACTTGTTATCCCATACGTCGTACTGATGATGATGTAACTAATAACGAAAAACTACCTAATCATTTATGAAGACTCAATTTTCCAGTAGATACTTCGTACATACACCCTCGCACCTAGTGGCTTGTTATCCCGTACCTAGTACTGATGACGGCATAACTGATAATAGAAAGAAAGTAGCTATCATTGCTCGATAAACTGCAAATATTGAAATAATTTATCTCCAAATACTAGAAGTCTCGTAAACTGGTACTGTGCGAACCCCATTTTTTCAAACCATAAGACACCAACCAAACCGTTCACTATCAGCCCGTTGGAAAGATTCGTAACTGACCCAATGGCGTGGGGGGCCGTATGCTACACACTCATGATTTAAAAATAAAATGGCGAATATACAAAGAATAAGGCTTTTTGAGTTAACTTTTGATTATAGATTAATCATCAATCTTCCAAATAACTGAATGCGAGTAGGCAAGTAATTATATATGTACCTACTTACATAAAGCAATAATTTTTGTAATAAAATGCATGATTATTTTGATTGATATAAAAATCGATTACCTTCCCCAAACTTGATGTCTCGCGGTAGAGACATAGGGGTCAGAGGAGATACAGTTCAGAATTGGATGTTTGTAATTTTTTCAGGCATTCATTCGGAAAAGTATTTTGCTCTTGTCTCATTCAGCGTGGGGATGAAAAAATGCTTATATCAGCTGAGTACCTACAGTATACAGGTATACTGGTTGGATGGCTTGGAGATGCGTTGGGAGTGTTGTTGTTGTTTAGTTGTCTTGGAGGTGTTGTTTAGTTATTTTGGAGATGTTTTTGTTGTTGTTTAGTTGTGTTGGAGGTGTTTTGAAGGTGTTGTTGTTGTTGTTTAGCTGTCTTGAAGATGTTGTTGTTGTTGATTAGCTGTCTTAGAGGCGCTGAGCTGTAACTGGTGTTTCAGATTACGCGAGAAAGCGGGACATCCGGAATTTAAAATAACAACCTGTTTGGACCTGTGAGTTGAACTTATGTAAGTTATAATCATGTGATCAGCCCACATTCCAGCTAGGTTGAATTTTTCCAACATCAGAACGCGCTCTGCTATAGCAATAATTATAGAACTTTTTGAAGTTTATTTTTCTGCAATACCCAGATAACTAATTATGTACGTCTTCAAATTTTTTAAGTTTTTTTTTGGTAAAATGCCACTGAATCTACCTGCATGATGAACGTATTTTGCATTAATCGAAAAAGGTTCCTCAAGGTACTCAATACTTTTGTTTCACTTTGGATATTTATTGCAGAGAAAAGAACTTGTACCAAAATAATAGAACGTGAATTAATTAGAAAATGAATTGATTTTATTGGTTAGATGCTAAATGCTGTATGCCGAATTTCCACCGTAAGTGTTGGCTGAAACTAAGTGACGCAATATTTTTTTAGAAGTATATAAGCAAAAAGCCTTATTCTTTGTATATTTGCCATTTTATTTTTAAATCGTGAGTGTGTAGCATACGGCCCCCCACGCCATTGGGTCAGTTACGAATCTTCCCAACGGATTGATAGTGGACGGTTTGGTTGGTGTCTTATGGTTTGCAAAAATGGGGTTCGCACAGTACCAGTATACGAGACTTCTAGTATTTGGAGATAAATTATTTCAATATTTGCAGTTTATCGAGCAATGATATAGTCCGACAAATACCATTTTAAAGTCACGTGATACTGGCGACAAAAAACGTATGTCCATTGATTATGTCGTTCATATCACCTACAAAATGCTACTGGTGATTAATTACTATTGAATTTTAGGATATGTTCCCACTAGCATTTTACAAACGCGTTTCTGAAGTAGTATTAACCAATCAGAGGGCAATTTTAATACTTGCAATTGTTGCGAGACTCACTTTTGTCGTATCTGCTGTCTGTTGTAATACATTCTGAACTTA